CAGTAGTACAGCCTAGCGCATTTCACACAGGCTGTTAGTTTCACTTTCGCCAGAAAGTCGTGTATGCCTAGGTCGAAAATAAATTATGTTTATAGTGAATGCCCCTATGAATGGTTTTATTTTTACGATTTCGTTTTAATCCAAATGATGCGTGTGCTAAGTGAGTGAACATCAAAGATCACACAACAGAAGTACGCGCGCTCTCTCTCTCTCTTTCTTTCTCTCTCTCTCTCTCTCTCCCTACCGTTAAGTAACTTGTGCATTGTTTTACTTACTTGTTTTTGACACATCCGACCGAACTACAAACTTTCCAGTGATGTCTGTGAGAAAGATATATTCACTCGACAAGCTCGCGCATCTGCGCCGCCGCGCGCTCAATCCACTCAGCGCGCTTTGTTTATCAGCTCGCGCACATCAGCTACATACATACAGGCGTTAATACTGAATGTTTAATGTTATATTCATTGCATACATATACTTCGTAGTAGACATCCTTAAGCATTTTAACGAGTATGAGTACGAGTACAGGAGCGCAGTATCGGGCCCGATACCGATACCAGTATCGGTGCATCCCTAGTAGGAAGGACTGTAAGGCCTGCCATACTGCCAGCATTTCCAGGCAGTTGATGTGCAGCTTTGACTCCTCTTTCGATTACGTGCCAAAGGCTGGTCTGCCGTCGCACAGGGCTCCCCAGCCCGTGTTTTACGCATCTGTAAAGATGACCTTCCTTTTGTGTATCATCCCCAGGGGTATGCGCTGTTTGAACCACGAAGGGTCCTTCCAAGGGGCAAGGGCTGCGACACAGACTTGATCCACCTTGATACGAAGGCGTCTGTGACGCCAAGCTCGGAATGGAACCAGGGGTTTCAGCCAGTGCTGAAGGGGCCACATGCGAAGGAGGCCTAACTGCAGTACTGGCGATGCAGAGGCCATAAGGCCCAGCATCCTCTGAAACACTCTGAGAGGAAGGGACGTGCCAATCGTGAAGGCGGTCGTCAGCTGCTGTATAGCCAGGACACGTTCTGGCGAGGCTACAGCTCTCATTTGAGTGGAGTCGAAGACAGCCCCCAGAAATGAGATTCGTTGGCTGGGAATCATCAAGCTTTTGGCATAATTGACCCTGAGCCCCAAGCACTCTTAAGTGGTTGAGGAGGAAGGATCTGTGGGATATTAGCTCGACCTCTGACTGGGCTAAAACAAGCCAGTCGTCGAGGTAATTCAGAATGCGGATTCCCATCTGTCTCAGAGGGGAGAGAGCCGCATCTATGCACTTTGTGAAAGTGCGTGGGGCTAGAGACAGCCCGAACGGGAGGACCGTATATTGATATGCCACTCCTTCGAAGGCGAATCTCAAGAAGGGCCTGTTGCGGGGGGCTATATGAATGTGAAAGTAAGCGTCTTTCAGATCCAGAGAGAAGAACCAGTCCCCTGGGCGAATTAGCGAGAGGATCTGTTTCAAAGTGGTCATTTTGAACGCGCACTTTACTACGGCGTGGTTCAAAAGCCTGAGATCGAGGATGGGCCTGAGGCCGCCATCCTTTTTGGGGACGAGGAAGTAACGGCTGTAAAAGCCTGACTCGCTCTGAGCTGGCGGGACGATTTCTATGGCCCGTTTCACCAGCAACACAGCCACCTCGGAACGCAGAACGCGAGCGTTCGTGTTCCCTACTAAGGTGGGGATCACACCGCAGAAACGCGGGGGTTCTCGAGCGAATTGGATTAGATAACCTCGTTTTATAATCCCCATAACCCACTTTGACACGAAGAGGAAATTTGCTCTCTTTTTGAGTATGTTTGTGTTTTATTTTGTCCGCTGTCACAGCGGTTATACACTTGGGCGCTAGAACAGGCCCTTTGCATGCAATAAACACATTTTTCCCAGCACCCGGAACTGAACGGGGTGACGGCTTCTGAGGTGTAGGGTCCAGCACAATCTTGGGCCGGGGTCCCTGGCGCTTCGGGAAAGGATGGCGCTTTGCAGAGCGTGAGCGCTGCCTGGGCTCAGGCTGTGCAGAGGGCTGAGCAGCAGGAGGCGTGGTTTTGGCTGGCTGTTGAGTCGGCGCAGGCTTGGGGCGACTGGCAGCAGCTGCAGAACTGGAACGCTTCGGCAGGAAGTGTCGCATGGCTTGGGACGACTTCTGTGCAGCCGTGAAACGCTCGGCGAACCCTTCCACAGCAGGTCCGAAAAGGCCAGTGGGGGTGACCGGGGAGTCAAGGAAGATGGTTTTATCCGCTTCTTTGATCTCCGTCAAATTCAGCCATAAGTGGCGTTCCAGCCCCACCAGGCTGGCCATCAACCTCCCAATGGCCTGTGCTTTGTGGCGCGCAGGGCCAGATCGGTGGCGCTGCGCAGCTCTCTGAACGCTGCAGAGTGTTCTGGCCCAGACTCATCCATGGCGCGAAGGAGCTTCGCCTGGTACACTTGGAGCACCGCCATAGAGTGTAACGCAGACGCAGCCTGGCCCGCCGATGTGTAAGCACAACCAGCGAGGGCTGAAGTCGTTCGGCAGGGCTTAGAAGGATGAGCAGCCTTTGCCTTCCATCCGATGGCAGCGGGGAGGCAGAGGTGTGCAGCCACCGCTTCGTCCAGAGGAGGCAGCTTATCATAGCCCTTCTGTGCAGCGCCGTCGACCGTAGTGAGGGCGGGAGAGATAGAGGAGCGTAAACGAGCTGAGTAGGGGGCGTGCCACGACTTCGTCAGCTCGTCGTGAACCTCTGGGAAGAAGGGCGCAGCTCGCTGAGGAGGGGTCTGGCGGCGTCCGGGCAGAAACCACTCATCTAGGCGGCTGCGAGTGGGCTCTTCAGGCGAAGACCACTCCAATCCGAGCTCCTCGACGGCTTTTGATAGGACACGGATGAGCTCGGTGTCCGTACCAACCCTGGCGTCGATTGGCTTCGCGGACGGCAAGGGGGCGGGGTCAGCAATGGAGTCCGACCAATCCTCAGCATCCGAGGCCGCTAGGGACATACTGTCATCAAGCGGCTCGTCATCCGATCCCCCAAACGAGACCAGGTCACTCGCGATGGCGCCACCGCTTCGGCCAGAGGAGGCAGCTTATCGTAGCTGAGTAGGGGGCGCGCCATGACTTCGTCAGCTCGTCGTGAACCTCTGGGAAGAAGGGCGCAGCTCGCTGAGGAGGGGTCTGGCGGCATCCCGGAAGAAACCACTCATCCAGGCGGCTGCGAGTGGGCTCTTCAGGTGAAGACCACTCCAATCCAAGCTCTTCGACGGCTTTTGATAAGACACGGATGAGCTCAGTGTCCGTACCAACCCTGGCGTCAATCGGCTTTCTGTTCATTCTTTTGAACCAATGGCAGTGCAGATGCACTGCTGTGATTGAAAGATATCGTACTCGGTTACTAACGTAACCTCGGTTACCTGAGATACGGGAACGAGTACTGCGTAGCTAACCGTGCTATGACGCTGCACGACTCTGTCATCGCTTCAGTCGATATGAACCAGTGATCCTATGCCGAGCGCCTGCTTATATAGCCAGATGCCCCGCCCAATTTGGCGGGCTCTGGCACGCTGCCTCGCCATAGGCTCACGCTGCTCCGCCGCGCCGTCATTGGTTAATTTCTGTTCATTCTTTTGAACCAATGGCAGTGCAGATGCACTGCTGTGATTGAAAAAGGCTTCAATAATCGGAGAAAAGGAGTTTTCCCCACCGTGTCTTAGCGACGCAGTACGAGTAAAGTATCGAAAGGGAACCCAAGCTGCCTCGGTAGCCATGGGTTGTTAGCATAGCGATACATCAAACAAACTTGTGTGGCGTGTTTTTTAATTGCTTATCAAACTAAAAATGCCATGGAAGTGCCAAGCTTATTTTTCAGTATGTCTTCATACATGTCCTTAATTGTGCTTTCCATAAACTTCCATAAACATGAAAACACCACAAACACCACAGTCACTGTGGTGAGTGCTAGCTCTCCGCTAACCAAAAAAGACCCCCGAGAAGAGCTATATGGCCATGATTTAGAAGTATAAAGCTAATAAGAAGCATAACAACACACTCGGAATAGAATTACGTAGGTTTCACGAACACCTCAACAGATGTTGAGTCAGATTTACGAAAACGTCCATCTGATAATTAGTGTAAATTATAAGGTAACAACACTGCAGAGGTGTTTCCAGATATCAGCAGACGTCATTGCAGCCCGCTGTTGCCATGGAACATGGAGCGATATGAAACAAAGCACTATAAACAAATGATGTGAATTATATTTAACTCTTCAAAATAACTGCAGTCATTCATTAAGCTCAAATAAATGCTACACAAAGTGCGATAAAGGCAGCGGTAGGCGGCTGTAACCTTTGTATGCATGAGAGAGAGGCTACTGCAAGCATGTCACGCCGGTTACTAAATTAATGACTACATACATCACAGCTTATTCCAGGATCAGAAGCTAATGATTGTTTTTATGGTAGAGGACATAGCATTCCCGGAGCCCTTGTGAAAGGCTACGTTGAGCTAATGAGAATAATACTGTACAAACGGCACTGGAAGAAAGAGGTACAGCCAGAAACGAAGAGCCACTGGACCACAAAACCTCACAGTCTCCATCAGAGTGCCAAAACAGATGTATTCATCCATATATCCACATGTGTCTATCTACATGTTATGTACATTCGCATGGCTTGCCCACATGTTCTCACCAACGGCCACACCGAGACGGTGTCATGCCCGCGGGATTTGATTATCATGCTCGGAACAGTCAGCTCTTCAAAGATTGACCACTGGTATCCTGCAGCGTGGGGTAAAGAGATGAAGAAAGAGATGGCAAATTAAATTAATAAGAGTCTCACTCTATTACTGACTGTGAGATTAATTCTGAAATGCACAGAGCAGCAGGAAGGGGTCTGATTTCATGGATGGCACGCTTTCTTTCGCTCTCTGCATCTCTCCTGTTGAAATATTCACAACAATTGAGGAAAACCTCCACAACAACGCCTAACTGGCTGTTTTGTATTGCAAGGCATTACCACTGATCTAACAGCACTAACATACTGATGTACACACAGAATCAGCATACATACAAACGTCATCTTCATTTTTAAATTTAAATAGATATTAATTTAATTAATTGAACACATTTTCATTGAATGCACATTTTTAAAAGAATCCGACCAATTTTGTAACAAAAAAGACAAAAATATAATATTTTAGTCATTAAGTAATGAGGTTTAAACCTCTTTAACAGTCAACTGTATGAACAGTTATCATTAAAATACTTTTTTTTTTTAATAAATTTAAAAAACAGGTACATTTTGCATCACTAAATGAGTTAATGGAAGAATAATCATGTAATATGACTATTAATTAAAAAGTTAATTTACCAATTACTTGTTTAATAAATATGATAACATTTTAATTTTTATTTACATACATATATCTAACCATTATAAACGCCAAGCCTAAATTAAATTATTTAAAATTCAGTGTGTGTGATAACTGCAGGAACCAAAATACCGTTTTAATATTTATTTTACATTAAATGACTCCATGAAGGAATAATAAATTAATATTTATGTATTTCCAGCAATATATGCAGGAAAGAAAATACAGTAAAATCAAGTTCAAATAGTTAGGCCACTTATTGTACATTTTTACTTAGTTTTTCATGTTATGAAAAAATAGGCCTAACATTTTAATCTGAAAATTTATTTTATGTAATAATAATTTAAACTTAAAATTATCATTTTATTTTTGCAACAATATATTAATACATAATACACAGTGATTTTATATAGGCCTATATATCTTTCCCTCAAAAAATGAACAATATTCTAAACATTTGGCTGTGATATTTAGAATACCTTTTGAACGTTTCGACTTTTTAATAAGGATCCACAGACACCCTGGCATGATTTTAAACGAACAAATCAGTCATTTAGTATAGCCCCTAGTTGTGTTTATTTATTTGTTGGGAACATGTTCTTTTATTTATGTTGTTCCCTTTGACAGGGTTTAGCAGTCTTGCTATCTCTGGCTTTTCCTTTTTCGCATACACAAAGAACTAAAAGCAGTCTTGGCACCCTGTCCCACAGGCTTACAGGCACAAGCACGCTACCTCTCTCTGTCGGGGAAGGATGGAGTGCTGTGCAGTGTCTGCCTGCTGTCCTCCTGAGCTATGGAGTGAGGGATGGCGAGGGAGAGAGGCGGAGGGCGCTGCGAGAGACTGCGGTCGTAACTGAATGAAAGTGAGAGAGAGAGAGAGAGAGAGAGAGAGAGAGAGAGATTAGGACGACAGCCAGTGAACGAATCGAGAATATAGACACTGAAGAAGGTGAGAAAGAGGCATGAAAAGAGAGATTAAATAGTGTAACGGGAAAGAAGGCAAACACTTCAGTGACACTGACGGGAAGTTCATTCACTCGCTGGCTTAATTTAATAGACCGCCTTCAGCGAAAGAAAAAACAGAGTGGGGGAAATTAAAGCGTGCGATAGAGAAAGAGAGAGAGAGAGACGCTGAAATATTCAGTTAAAATCATATTTGTCCAGCAACCATGAGGAAGACAAAGCGTCGCAGACGCGGTGTGACGTCCCATGCAGCGTCGGCGCCACGTTGGTACATTATAACATGATTAGGCCTGCCGTTATTATTTCTGAAAATACTTATACGAGACGTATCTTTTTTATATTTTCCTCAAAAAAAAAAATTTTTTTTTAATTGTGTTTTTAAAAGCATGCAGCAAACAAAAATATGCGATTAATCTGTTAAAATTTGTTACTGTGGGTTAACAAATTTACATTAGTAGGCTATATGTTATTAAATTGTACATAGGCTATATATCAGATTAGTTTATTTACAAGTTTCATGTTTGTGTTTATCCCGTTTTTTTCCCCAGTTGCATCTGAAAATTACTTTCAGAAACATTATTTTTTTCAAAGCAGCCCCCCCCCCAAAAAAAGTGCGGCCCCCCAATAAATTGTGCCAGCCCCCTCACTTTGTGCGCTCTGGCGCCGACCCTGGTCCCATGTAATATTAATACCCCACACCGACTCGCACTTATCTTCAGTGACTCAGGAGAGTTTACTCCACCTCTGATCTGATGGGATGACGGACGGAGGGTTGGGGGTTGTTAAATGAGCGAGAGGATATCTGTCAAGGCAAGTGTGTGAAATGCAGAGATTAATTGCGGAGATATAGCTTGTGTATGCAATAAAATCGCCCTCGGCTCGCTCAGATGAACGTCGGTCTGATCTTCTACGTGAGCGCCGGCCTCACATTAACATAAACGATAAACCTGTTGGGAGTTCTGCGATGTGACAGTTTTAAACCTCTCTATCGATTTTAGAAACAAGCTCATATATACAAGCACATTCCCATAATGTCTGATTTGTAGTATCTGCACCATTGCTTTGCCCGCAGCATAAAAACGATGAGATTTGGCTGAAGCAATCCGAATCTTATGATAAAACATATATGAATTTGTGATTCGTACAGAAACATTCCTCTTTTAGAATGTAAGATTGAAGGTCCACTCCTAAAGTCGAAAGTATACTTCCCTTGTCTGTGACGTTTAGGATGATTCCAAGGGCCTGAGGAGGGAGAGGGGCCCAAACACGAATTCTATCAAGGGCGCCGCCTGCTGGCCCGTGTACTGTCTGTGATACGTAATTTTCGTCAACACACATTTCGCTGATGTCTGTGCACATAATGGCACATGTGCGAGTAAATGAAAATTTAAAATAATGATTTGAACACGTCTATCCACACTAACAACTCAACTACACTTTGAAAGGCTTGCATGCTCAGTTGTGCATGAGATGTAAAACATGGATAAATAAGTATACCTGGGCCTTAAACCTAACCACTAGTTTGATAGTGTTTGCGAACACATGCGGTTGACTCATGCGCACTAGAAAGTGTCCAATGTCCAATGTCTGCACTATTTCTCTCCAGAAGTTATAAAATGTCTTCAATTAGAGTTGCGGTTAAGAGTATCTCTTAACCCCCTCACACAAGTACTTGTCATCATGGCTGTCTATTGTTGTTGTTTGCTTTTGTTGTTGTTTTATCTCTTGTGTTTCTTTATTGACTATGAAACAACAGGCCTTGCCATCTTGTGGACAAACTAGTGCAAAAAAATTGAAGGCACGTGTGAGCTGAGCGTGGTTAGAAAAATCGTGCTTCACACGTAGGCCTATAGTACAGGTGCATCTCAATAAATTAGAATGTCGTGGAAAAGTTCATTTATTTCAGTAATTCAACTCAAATTGTGAAACTTGTGTATTAAATAAATTCAATGCACACAGACTGAAGTAGTTTAAGTCTTTGGTTGGTCTTATGGAGTATTCTAATTTGTTGAGATAGTGAGTTGGTGGGTTTTTGTTAAATGTGAGCCAAAATCATCACAATTAAAAGAACCAAAGACTTAAACTACTTCAGTCTGTGTGCATTGAATTTATTTAATACACGAGTTTCACAATTTGAGTTGAATTACTGAAATAAATTAACTTTTCCACGACATTCTAATTTATTGAGATGCACCTGTATGTATGTATGCATAATATGTTGATGACAAAATTTATGTCACAGCGAACAACGCATACCCTAGTGTACACGTAAAAGCCAAAGTATAATTTGAGCCCAAGCAGATCATAGAAAAACGTACAAATGAGATGGTACAAATTCATACAAATTAGCCACCAATTTGTCAAAATAGTTATGAATTGCCATGAGAGTGTGTTGGCTGAAGAGTTTGACAGTGAAAGTGAATTCAGCAAAGGGAAGGTTCTAGCATAAACTAAGGCAGGTAGTAATAAATCACACTCATAACCTGTCACCCCTGTGTTTATAGTTACTCTCAGGATGATATGGGCCATTCCTCAGCTCTCTATATCATTTTAATGATCATCTATGCAATCGAATGCTGCCGTTCGAGTAAATATAAATGCATTCCTGCGCCTGATGGCCCTCGACGCTCCGGGCTAAATTTCTAATTAAACCAGCACAATAAAACACTGTAAGGTGTCCACACTGTTAGTGTCTGCAGAGTCAGAATATCCATAGATGGAATTTTTAACAGTTCTGCATGGAACTCTTACTGAACAGAAGAATCCTCGACTGAAAGTTTGTGGAAATCTGTGGTGTGAACCCATTATGACACACTGACTGTTCAGTCACTCACACAAGGAAGCAAGCTGTCTCAGGGAATGTATGACAAAACCATGCAGGCAGAGGAGTGGTGAAAATGTCTCACCAGAGTTTAGCAGAGATGATGACCACAGAGAGAATCAGCAGAGATGAGATCGTCACTGTCACATAAAACTGTGGGTCCACTGAAGAAAGAAATAGCACAGGAGAAGTATAATTAGACAAAGTGAGGGGACACTTTGAACAGACGTTTGAATTAAACCTATGTGATGTTAAATTCTACTTTGAATTGGAATGATAGGAAGAGGATGTGCAGAACTGCAATTCAAATTAATTCAACACAGTCACACAACAGAAATAGGGCCGTAAAAACAAGACGACGTCTCCCCTTCAAATGTGGGTTTTTAATGACCGATTTCTAAATGTTTTCATATGGACCCACACACTCTTGAATATTTGTTTACATCCTTGACAAGAAAATATATTTGGTTGGATTTTTTAAGACTTTGAAATAAATTGACATTATAGAAAATAAAGCTCCTTTCATCATGGTTCATTTAAAATAAGTAAATAATAATAATAATTTAAATATTTGTATAATAATTTTTTCTGACCGATGAGCTTTGTAAAAATCGACACGTTTCAGAAAGGTGGGGCATACAGGAGAAACAATAATGTGCAGTATGTGCAAAATAATGTTTTTTGAACTTTAAACCGCATAAACGCATTTCATTACACCAAATACACAAAATAATGTTCTTTTTAGCAACATCATATGACCCCTTTAAATCTCATAGTATATGTAATTATATATGAAATGCAATAAAAAATATTTAATACAATTATATATAAATAATTTGTATAAATATGCATATAAATCAAATATTAAATACAATTTAAAATATACAAATGTATACTTACATTTCAAACATCAAATAACAATATCCCCTAATCTGAAAATATTGTGTGTGTATGATGTCATGAACAGCAGTTGTGTGAAATTCATTCTTAAAAACATCTTAGATTCTACTTTAAATTAAAAATGAATTCCTCAAACCGTAGAGCATTGCAACACCAAAGTCATGGGTTCAATTCCCATGCTGTGCATTAACCCAGTGTAACATATATCTTGAATGCAATGCAAGTTGTTTTGATAAAGGTGTCTGCCAAATGCATAATTGTAAATTCTGGCCTATTTGCTACCTCAATTCAAATGCAAGAACTGAACTGGAATTTCAAAACTCATTCCCAGTTCGCTTCCAAATGGCCCACATGCCTATAAAAAGCAATTAAAGGAAGCATTAAGATGTAGAAAAGTGTGAAGAAAGACTTGCAACAAGGAGCCGTTACAGGAGAGAAGAGCGAGAGAACTGTGAGGGCGAAAAGGGTGGGCAGAGTGTCATAATCAGGTAAAATTGTATTGATTGGATTGATGCATGCCTCCTTCTCAATAGGAGAGAAATCTAAGCTCTCCTCAAGCGCAGATTTTCTACTATGAGGAACCAGCATGAGTCCAGAGCCCTGTCGGTGATGCAGCTCTCAGATAAAGAACTCATTTCACGGATACCAACCTTCCTCGGTGTCCTGCTCTTCTGTCTCTATCTTGTCCCTCTCTCCCGTAGTCGGGCGTTGCGTTTGATTGGCGGCCGTGCTTCGATGGTGCAACCAGTCTTCGGGCGTAGTCACCCTCGAACCCTCCGTCTCCAGACTGGACAGCAAGTGATGGGTTTCGTCCTCCAGGGGCTGCGTGGGACCCCAGTCCACTGCCCACAGCTGAGTGGTGCTGGCCTGCGCCGTGACTGGCATCTGCATTTCGCCCAACTCCTCCCACTTCTTGTCATCTGTGTCACCGGTGGCAGTGCAAAAAATTACAGTGACCAGCAGGAAGCTCCAAAGGGGAATGAATCCAATGTGGGGAGAGATGGAGCTGGGGGGAAGGAGAGACAAAGCAACGAAAAGACGGAAGGAGGGATTGAAAAGGAAAAGCTAGAGATCGAAAAAAACACATAACTGAGAGGCGTGAATCGAGCATAGATGGAAAGAGACTTAAAGCAAAAGCTGATGCAACCCAACGGGCTGCAGGAAACTAACTGGTCAGATCTGAGCACAGTGCAACCAAAACAGTCTGTTTGGCGCCCTCGCTTTGCCTTACCATCGCTCCATCGCTTCAGCCTGTTCACTGACTCCTCGCCACTCCGATCATGTCTTAAATGAGAATGACATAAAGAGAAGGATGAGAAGAGAAACAGAGCTGGAAGGGGGAGGGTTCAGTCTTGACACCGACTAAAAGACCATAAACAGATGGCTGTACTGGAGAAATACCCTGCTGGCTCTGAGACAACACAAATAAAAACACACACATACTGTAAGCATACACACTCATCCGGATCAAAACGGATCACATTCATCAAGAACCAAACCACAAGATCCACAGAAAAACACACATGCGAACACACCTGTGGATGCGTTCCCCGTGTCAAGCCTCTTCCCGAGCCGTCAAACAAAACTCAACATCTGTATCCAGATTTACGGCACACTCTGACTTCCAGGCAACACTCACAAATACACCTACACACACTTGGAAACATGCAGATTCAAACTCTCAAGACAGATATCGGCTCACATGCCTACCTCATGCCACTGAAGAAGGGAGTGGGAGAGAGACAGAGCGCCTGGAAGTGGGGAAAAGCATTGGTTGCCGTAGCGACAGAGACATGTAGAAATTGTGCGAGTGAGAAATAGAGTGCGGAAGAGGAAGGGAGAGAGAGCGAGAGAAAGAGAGAGAGCGAGGGCCAGAGGAGGGAGGGAAGGAGGAAAGGAGGATTGGAGGAAAGATTGAAATACTAATTATGCATCTTAACTGGTTCAATTAAATAGGCAGCGAGAAGAAAATAAATGAATTTTGAAGGCGAAAATAGCCGGACAGAATAAAAGAAGCGGCTTATTAATATTCCGAAGATCAACTGAAGTAAATAAAAAGTATTCAGAAAGGACAAATGAAAAGAGGCAGCGGCAGGAAAATCGATATACATTAATGTAGCGTTGGACGGGAGCCCTACATGATGAACAACGCTATAGATATTTATAGACAGAAGTGCCAGCGATGATAAATACTCTCACACGTACACAGACATAACATGGTAGGGTTTATTGGATCGACGTTTACATAGAAAACAGTCTGTTGTTTCTCTCCTCCTTCTGTTTTTTCCCTTCTGCCAGTCAGTCAATCTGTTCCACTTCAGTCCCTTCGCGTGATTTCTTGCACTCAATCGTCGCCCCTTGACCTTGCCTTTGCTTTCTCTTCCTTTCCAGTTTGTTATTTTTAACCTTCCTTCGATCTCCTTCCCCTCGCTCTCTTTTTTTCATTTACCCCTCCTCTCGCTCACTGAAGAACACAACGCAGCCATGAAGAACTTGCGGGTTCCTCTGTTTCTGATGCATCCTGGGGTATGGAGTCTTCATCATCGTCCACTGGAGAAAAAAAACGATATTTTCGTAAAGGTTGTCAAAGTGAATTAAATGTTTTATAGCATCACTTTTTAAATGCTGTTAACTCATTTATTCGAGAACATTGCAAAATAATGTCCATAAAGTGTGTAAAAAAGTTGTTTTTATGATTGCATTACTGTAGATTTTCTTTGGACTGGAATTTTTTAACATAGGTTAAAACATCCATCTTTGGTTCCCTCTCTTACCCTCACTTTGTTCGTCTTCTGAGTCTCTGTCGGATTCCAGAAGACAATCTTCCAATCGGCTGTCTCGTCTCACTGTGACATCGCCTCTAGAGGAAAAACAACAGAAGACCGTCAGTGCAGGCCACTTGGGTCACACTGTTTACAAGGACAGAAGGATGTTTAACTCGGCCTGAAGCAAAAAGCAAAGCTGCTGTGCTGACAACAGCGCGCTGTCAATGGGATTGGAATGACTTCATTATACAAACTGCTTTTGAAGTAGCAAGTATATCATTAAGAGTTAGGCAGAGGCAGATCAACTTAAAAATCTTCTTCATATCTGCACATTAGCAGCATTTCAATGTATTGTCTATTTTCAATAGTGTAGCGAAACATGAATATATGACTGGATTTATTGTATGAAAGTTTGCCCAACAGTGTTAAGTGTGACTGCACCCAAGCTGGCACGGGGCCCAGTGCAAGAGAGGGAGCGGGGCCCCCCATCAGTCCTTTCACGGTTCCGTTCCAGGTCGGGGGGTGGGGGGGTTACCCCCTCAGTCTGTTCACGATTGCGTTTGTCCCACTCGGTTGTCCCATTCCAGGTACCCCTCGGTTCGTTAGCGATCACGTTTGTCCCATTCAGTTAATTTGTGATTGTGTTCCAGGTCCCTCCTCGGTTCGTTTGCGATCATGTTTGTCCCATTGGGTTCTTTGTGATCATGTTCTAGGTCCCCCTTGGTTCGTTTGCGATCACGTTTGTCCCACTCGGTTAGTATGGATCGCGTTCCAGGTCCCACTCAGTTTGTTTGCGATTTCGTTTGTCCAACTCGGTTAGTTTGCGATCGCGTTTTCCCACTTGGCTCATTTGTGATTGCATTCCAGGTCCCACTCGGTTCGTTTGCATTCGCGTTTGTCCCTTTCAGTTCGTTCATGATCGCATTCCAGGTTCCGCTTGGTTCATTCGCAATCGCGTTCCGGGTCCTCATCGTTCCGTTCGCGATTGTGTTT